AGAATTTTCTTCATTACGTCAGGAGGCGATAAATCGACATTGGCCTTAGCCAACATGATATGGAGGTCTCGCATCAGTTTACGGTCCTTCTCCTCCAAAAGTCTACTCGAGAATGGAATCTTGGTACGGGTTCGGAGACTTGTGCAAGGTCGGCTCAGGTGGTGGTGTCATTGGAGCTTCTCCGGTTTCACTATGCTTCTTTAGGCCCTCTTTGACTTCCTTTATCTCTTCGGGCATAATCACGGTCACCGAATTCGCATGCTCCGGCTGACTTGGTAACTTATTTTTGTTCAACTCGGTCTCGATGGTCCCGACCCGTATGGCTAGCTGACCTACTTGCATCTCAAGACGCTTGATTGATGCATCTTGGTTCGTGATAAACTGAAGGATCTTGTCCATCTTATCATCTTGATTTGATGAGTTCAATCCGGACCCTTGGGCTTGTTGTTGCGGTTGCTGTTGTTGTTGGTAGTTCGAACGAGGATTAAAGTTGGGACGGGGTTGCTGCTGCATGAAGTTTGGACGGGGTGGCTAAAGAGTGTTGTTGTTGTTGGACCACGAGAAGTGTGGGTGGTTTCTCCACCCGGGGTTGTATGTGTTGGAGAAAGGGTCGTTGGCTTGCCGGTTCTGATATCCTTGGAGAGCGTTGACGTCGTCATATTACTCCCCGAAATCCTGATCGATTGCTTATGGGCACACCTCTGACCTGTGCCCTTGAGCTCCACATGCACCGCATGTATCCACTGCCATGTTCTGCACTGGTTGCATTCCTCGAGCATTTAGTATCCGCATTTGCTCTGTAAGCTCGGCTATCTGATGGGCCATCATGTGTTGTCCAGAAGATACCTCATTGACCACGGCTCTCTTCCCTCGACTGCTCTTTTGAGACGAATTGGAACTCATCGCCTCAAAGATATCTATCATCTCTTCTGTCGTTCTTGCCCCAATATCTCCACCAGCTGCGTTATCCACCATGTTGAAGGTTCTGGTGGAGAGAATCATAGAAGCTGTTCATCAAAAGGGTCGGTGGGAAGTTATGGTGTGGACACTGTATCTGTAGGTCCTTGAAGCGTTCCCACGCCGCGTGAAGTGGCTCGTGCGGTTGTTGGGCAAAAGAGACGATTTGTGACCGTAGCTTTTGAGTCTTTTGGTGGGAGTAATACCTCCCTATGAACTTTGAGTACACTTGCTCCCAAGTGGTAATAGAATCTTGAGCAAGTGTCATAAACCAATCCTTAGCCCGGTCTTTGAGAGTCTCAGGGAAGCATCTCATCTTCAGTTGATCCTCATTCAGCCCGTGGAGTGGAAAGGTTTGGAGCACATTATAGAACTCCCGTATGAAATGGAGCGGGTCTTCATTAGGTAGGCCATGGAAAGATGGGAGTTGGTTGTAGTGGATGGTTTTGAGCTCGTAGTTCCGAGCTGCTTTCCCCAGTCGGATGCAAGAAGTCACTGGCCCAATCACTGGTTGAGCCAAATCGCAAAAAAGAGACCTAGGAGGATTATTAACTTCCTCATCCTGCTCGTTTTGTGCCATGTAGGTTTGGTTTTCTGATGCAGATGATGTTGGTGCAAGACTAACTAACAATTCTCGTAGGTCTTGCTGGATGGATTCGTCGTTTGGGATGATTACACGACCACTCCTGGTACGTATAAACACAAACAACAAAACGTCATGGGTACCAGATAAACAAGAGAAAGAATAAGGAGAAACAAATCAAAAAAAATCACTACAGCTAAGCAAAGAATTCAAACAAAAGAAACACAAAAATCAAGAAATCACGAAAACAAGAGAAACACTGAAAACAAAATGAATAAGCGCACAAAATAAGTCCTAAACCTTCCCCGACAACGGCGCCAATTTGTTGTAAGTATTTTTACTGGAGTCAAATCTAAAGATTCAAACACCGGGTCGTCTCTCAAGGAAGGTTGGTCGGATAATTTTGTACGAATATTCAATCACAAAAAGGAAAATAATCCTAACACTCTACTCAGATTGATTTTCTTTGTTTTATCGACTATGAATTGTAAAAACAAGGCAAGCTATTCCAAACTCACAGTTCAAACACAAATCCCAATGGTATAAATGGACTAGGGCGTCGGGGATAATCGTTTTCGGTTCTCAATATATTTAACGAGCAATTAACTACTCAGCTAATGGACAAGCAACAACCAATTCATCTAGAGATTCATTCTCAATAACTCACGTAACAAGAGAATAAACATAAACGAACAATTATCGTCTCCATTAACACATAGACAATACGCTTCCGAACAAGTCTATTCTAAACAAGCCGAGATTGATCGATTTTTTCCCTTTCGGTTCCAAAATCGATTAAGTAGGTTAAAATGGTGATCAAGCATTCAACCCTAGGTACCTAACTTGTCTAGATTGAGCAATTAACATTCACACAAACGAAATTCAACTGGAACAATTATCCCCTAACCCTAGCTATTGAATTAGCTACTCATGACTATTCCAACATAAACATTCATATCAACCCAAGAAATCATCATCACACACAAATGAGAAGGAGTGCTTACGATTAATATAAATCCAATGTCGAGTAAGCAACGAGAAATCCCAATCCAAAAGCTAGAAAAGGAGTTTTTACTCTCCACAATTCAATCCAAGCTAAAACCAAGAGAAAATATGTTTTGAAAGTGAAAAAACTCTGAAAACGAAGTCTGCCCTCTGAAATAATACCCTAGGCTCGATCTAATAAGTCCCCAAATTCGAAATCTATGAAAATCGCGACTGTTACAAAATACGGCATAGCGGCGCTAACCCCTTAGAGTCGCTAAGGATGAAAATACTGAGCCTCTCCCCATCGCTATAGTGTGGAGCGCCGTTTTCTCAACAGTACTGCTCCAAAAATTCGTCGACTTGGACTCACGTGCTCTCGGCTAGCGTCCCTCGGGCCCTCCCCGAGCAAAAAACTCAATCCTCGAATGCTCCAATCTCACAAACCGACGCAGAACTCCTGAGAACCTGAAAACACCACCATCGAACACACACAAAAGCAAGAGAAAATAGAAGAAAGAACAACGAAAATACTAAACGCAACGAATAATACTAAAAACTCGAGAATGACTAAAAAGGACCAGAAAACCCTAAGAAATGACATAAAACAGGGGAAACGACACACAAAATACTGACGAAAATAGCCACAAAAATGGGACAAACAATTAATGTTATGGTTAGAACTTAAAAAATGTTGTGATATTTACCTTGACCAAAACATTATCAACACGAGTCACAGAAAATCAATCTTGTTAATTTTTATAATTGATATAAATAAAATTATTGCAGATATTAATAAATTTATTTAAGAAAACAATATTTTTGATTATATCAAATTTAATCATATTTGAAAAGGTGTATATAGAAGCAATTAATATATATATATAGTTAAAAGATTTCCAAAAGAAACGTATGCATTAAACGATCCTAAAAGTTTTATTATTATTTTCAGTAAATGATTATTCTTATTATATACTCCCTCCGATAAATAATATATGTCGTTTTGATAAGTTGCACAGTAATTAAGATTTTTTTTTGTCAATAATAATCTTCTTTAATTAAGATAGAGATGGAAAGATAGAGATGAATGTTTTAAGAAAAAGATGAAAAGTGAATATGAAGAGATAACTAAATGATGGTAAAGATGAAAAAATATGTAAAAAATTTTCAAAACGTCATTTATTTGGCTAATGCTCCCTATATATTATTCCCGAATGCGCTGAGCCTACATGGCTGCTTGTGGTGCTTCGGAATCCTACTTGGCAAAGAATCATGCTTCATAATTAGGTTTGGACAAATACTATTGATATATTAATAATTAATAATCTCGGTTCGTACATTCCATAAATATTAAATAACTAACTTAGGTATTTTAATATCACATGTACTAATATATTCCTTTAATTCTTTGTAATTTTACATCCTTCAATTAGTTATTTAATTGTAGGCAAAGAATCATGTTTCGTAATTAAGTTTGGACAAATAATATTGACATATTAATAATTAATAATCTAGATTCGGACATTCCATAAATATTAAATAGTTAACTTAGGTATTTTAATATCACTTGTACTAATATATCTCTTTAATTCCTTGTAATTTTATATAGTGACATTAAATGACTAATATATCCCTAACTTTTGATTTATTTCCTTCAATTAGTTATTTAATTGTAAATGTGTTTTAAAAGTTGATAAGTTGATAAAATTAATCGTCTTTTGATGATTTTCGATTTGACATTCATATTGTATATATGAAATAAATAAGTTATATTTGTTCTTATAATAATAAAAAATAATAATATTTATTAAAATTCATTAGAAAAATAAAATTATTTCTCAGTTGATATATTTATGTTTAATGTAGCTATATGTTGTAAGTTAAAAAATTATTATAATATAACACAAGTAAGTCGCACAAATAAAAAAAATGTCATACTAAATATATAATAATATATATTTTATAAAAGATATTTAAAATTTCAAATATATTTTCTCATTAATTTTGAATTTTAAGAAAAAATTAGCAAACGCTGACTATTTTGTCTTATATATAGTTGTCTTCGTGTAGATACAGCCAATGGTGATTGGAGAAGCGGACGGCGATTGGTGATATCATGGGAGTTATAAAGATGAAGTAAATTAATAGTCCTCGCCGTATCCCGTCTCTCTCTCATCAATTTGTTTTTTTTATTTTTTACATTTTTTCTAAATCCCGCATTACAACCAAAATACGTTGAAGCTTGCGTGTTTTTGTCGTTTCCTGCTGGTTGTGGGAATTGAAAATGTCCATTTCTATCAATCCAATCGTCTTTCGCATGTATCATTGTTCTGATGCATTGTCGCAATAAATTGTCAGAATTTTATGTTTTTTCTCGTGTTTTTCGTTTTCTGGGGTGGAAAGTGCCGGTTGCAATTTCTATTGGAAATCTGAGGATAAAAGTCACCTAAAAATAAACCTATATTAATGAAAAAAGATGGCTGCTTTGGGTAATAAAACGTTGAACTTGTGTAAATCCTCGGATTTAGGCTGCTACAGTGCCGCTTCCATTAAGGCGACGCCTTTGAAGGCGATAGTGTTTCTCGGCACAGGTCGAAAATCGGAGATTTGCTGTGGATCGAGCTTCGTGCCGCCAATTAAGGCAATGGAAGCTTCCGAAATGACGACGCACCGGGGAAAACAATCGGGACGCAATTCCAACAAATGCTCCGATGATTCAGGTATTTCACAATATGTTTTATCCGCCTGATCTGCTTCCTTTTTTTCTTCTTTTTGTTCTTTTTTTTGGCCGCTTGAGTAGTTGCAGTAAGAACCGATTGGAATTCTTTAGGGGTGGAATATGCTGCAACTTTTATTTTTATTAGTATCATCGATTTACCTTTTCCTTTTCTTTGGATGTACAAAAAAAAAAAAAAAAATGATTGTCATGTAGGGGAAAGCATACTTAAGACATCTACTGTTGGAAACTCGTCAAATATCTTGTGGCACAAGTGTTCAGTAGAAAAGGGCGACAGGCAGGCTTTGCTCAACCAGAAGGGGTGTGTTATTTGGATTACTGGGCTAAGTGGATCGGGTTCGTATGTGTTGATGTGCTCTATGTTTTAATTGTCCTTTTAATCATTCCATCAGGTGTGGGGTGACTTCGTTCTATGTACTTATTTTCAATTATTAAATTTTATTTGTTTATTTTGTGTGTGATCAAGACGTGCTCACAGAACCTTTGAGTTCTGCATTTTGAAACTGAGATTCTGTGACTGAATAATGTTATAATATTTTTAGCTTGAATATCGTGAAACTTCATTATTATGATGTATAACGATGGGACCATGCTTGTCAAAAATGGGTGTTTCAGCATATTTGTTGAATGCTTTTTTTGGGCATATGTTTAACCAGATGAATGACGTTACTGCTGATAGTTTTATTTGTCTGTGACCGGTGGTTTGTAATTGAGGAGAAATTAGGAGTCTGACAGGACCATGCTTGTCAAAAATCGGTGTTTCAGCATATTGGATGAATGCTTTTTTCTGGGCATAAGTTTAACAGGATGAATGAAGTTACTGCTGATAGTTTTAATTGTCTGACGGCTGGTTTGTAATTGAGGAGAAATTGGGAGTCTGACATTTTGCTGCATTTGTTTGTCATCTTGAAATCTCTGAAGCATTTCTTGCGACAGAGGCAAAAATAGAAAAATTATTGGTTCCATGTCTTTTCCTTCCGGTCATAGAACTCATCAATTTTCCTTGGGTGTGTGTGTGTGTGTGTCTGTGTGTGTGTTTCATGTTTGGGTATTCAGTAGTGAAGAATATGATATGTAATTAGTTTGTTTATCATTTTTCTTCAGGAAAAAGCACCGTGGCATGCGCTTTAAGTCATGCCTTACATGCAAGAGGAAAGCTCACATACATCCTTGATGGGGATAACTGCAGGCACGGTCTCAACTGTGATCTTAGCTTTAAATCTGAGGATCGAGCTGAGAACATTCGAAGGATAGGTCGGTTTGTTTTTTCAACTATAACTTGGCAATTCTAGTTGGAGTTGTTTTTGTTATGTTTCGGTTTCAATCAACCCTTTTTTCCCTCCCTAAACAGGGGAGGTGGCTAAACTCTTTGCGGATGCTGGAGTCATTTGCATTGCGAGTCTAATATCGCCCTTCAGGAAGGAAAGGGATGCTTGCCGTAATTTACTGCCAAAAGGAGATTTTATTGAGGTATAATATTTCTGCCTCTGTAAGATTTGATATGTATGTCTTGAGGTTCTTTTGGTTTGTGCGCGTGTAACAAAAATTTTGAAACAGCTTTTTTTTTTTTTTTTGGGTGGCGAAAATTTAACTAAAAGATTGACAAAATATGTAGGTGTATATGGATGTACCCCTAGAAGTCTGCGAGACTAGGGACCCAAAGGGTCTTTACAAGCTTGCACGAGCTGGAAAGATCAAAGGTTTGTTTCGTTGCTCGTTCAGAGATTAGTCATTAAGATTCTAAAAGACTGGCTATTTCTATTTTTTTTTCATTGTGTTATATCATTTATTTATTGATTCTGTGGCTATTTATGAGCATGCAAAACATAAATCTGCAAGATTATGGCATTCGAATTGATGGGATACCTCACGATTGCATCTTTCCATACAGATTTGGTATATTTGGCCTTTGAACTGTAGCCGTGGGTAGAACATTTTTGGTGGTGACTGGTGAGTCATAGATTGGCATTTTATGTAGGTTGAGGTTTAGGCCGTAGCAAATAGAGTCATAGGAATTAGGATTTGGTTGGCTACTAAAGTTTGGGTGATGTGCTGTATACCCTAAACATCTTTTGTTAGGTGAGAACTACTATGAGTAAAGGTGGGTCCAATGTAAATGCTGTTAAAGCAAACCCTCTAGTTTGGCAGATAAGGTCACTAGTTAATTGGATGGCAAAAATCCAATTTTTGTCCGCTAATTTGTCCATTGTCCATTTTTGGTACACTAACTTGTCCTTCATAAAAAAAGGTCCATTATGTTACACTTTTCATCAGTTTTAGTATGCTAATACCGTGGCCCGGGATTACGAGATGTCAAATCAGTTTTTTATCCTACCACGTCAACATTTTATCCCTCCACGTAGCTCCAATCCCGATTCACGTCATCTCGTAATCCCGCCAACTGGAGTAGTGTACTAAAACTGATGAAAAATGTAACATAATGGACCATTTTTTATGAGGAGCATATTAGCGGACCAAAAGTGGACAATGGACAAGTTAGCGGACCAGAATTGAATTTTTGCCTTAATTGGATTCATGATCTGGCACACAATGAATTACAATAAACTCACTTATATATCTCAGCAGATAATGGATTCTATTTTGTCTCACACTGTCTGAAGTCAAATCCATATTGATATCCTTTTTGAATTATCTTATTTGTTTATTTATTTATTTTTTTTTTTTACAGAGTTTAACATATATTAATGCAAATAACAAAAAAATTGACTGAAAAAATGACATTTATTTTATTCAAATAAAAGAAGGTAAAAAAAAGAACGAGAAAGAGAAGCACACATACATATATTTGTAGTCTTTGAGGAGACAGAAATAGCCGTTTTATGCTACAGTGCATAGCCTCTTATAGATAACGACCTCTATTGGTTGTGCTATACAGGTTTCACAGGTGTTGATGATCCATATGAACCACCATTGAACTCTGAGGTATGCACTGGTTCGTTGGATTTGCTTGCTATGGCAAATGCGGCCCTAATCATTTGAAAAATGTTGTCGATATAGTCCTTTGCATCTAATCTCCGTTGTTTTTTCCCTTTTACCAATTTAACTTTGATACTAACTTGTGATGATGTTGACTTTCCCAGATAGTGTTGCAACAAAGAGAAGAAAGTTGTGACAGTCCAACTGTTCAGGCTGAAAAAATAGTTTCTTACTTGGAAACAAAAGGTTACCTGGAGGCATAGTTACTTGGAAAATCCCTGGTGTCTTGGCCGCAATAGAGATTATTTTTTCTGTTTAAATGATTAATCATTCTTCGAGTAGTAAACAGTTAGTTGTCGGTTGGGGCTTGTGTTGGTTGATCAATTAAACCTGAGACGAGTCACTGTTTGCACCCCTGAAAGATGCACAAGTGTAAGTTATGAATGATGTGTATCTTTAGATTCATCGAAGTTATATCCAGTTAATAAACACATCGAAATTTTAATATTTTATTAATTAATGTCTTTATTTAATTTGGGATATAAATCTAAGATAAATAAGATATTTAATTAATAAATTATTTATTTCTTGCCCACCAAGTCAAATCTTAGGATAAAGAAAGATATTATATCAAATCTTAGGAGAAGAAAAGAGATTATGTCAAATCACCAATTAAATTGAAGTCAAATCAAATTGAAGGCTCTATTCAATGCCACAAATCACACCTCAAACACTTTAAAAATATCAAACACGTCTCAAATATTAAAGTCTCAAATTCAAGAGCTATCAAGAACCCTCTTGAAGATTTGAAGAAGTTCTTGAAGAATCGCCTTCAATGAAGAAGAAGGCCAAGAAGAAAAAAAAAGAGGCGGCGACTCTTCCCCAATAAGTAAAGAGACGGCTTCCACTCCTCTCAAGTCAATCCAAGAATATCGACGACGTTCAAGCGACATTCAAGCCCCGTTCGTTGAGAAGTTCAACCAACATAGCGTTTGATTCGGGAAAAAACTATCAAGCTCTCGAGTCAACGTTATTCAAATTAAAGTCTCTCTTTCCATAAAATCAAAGAAACAAGTTCTCCAAGATGTTTTTCTCAATCAAGTCAAGGCCTGACATTTAATACGAGAATAAGTCATTCGACCCCCAAATTAATGTTAGAGAAATTCAAGACCAGAGGTTCAATCGTCAAATCCATCTTTTAAGGTCTCAAGCCCAAATTCATGAAGAGAAGAATCGGAGGAGATAAATAGATATTGTACCCGTGTATATCGTTTGATCGAAATATATTCAAGTTGTACAAAAGTTCTAAGTTTTTTCATAAAATTTGTTGTTACAAATTTGGCACGCCCAGTGGGACTCCAAGTAAAATTTGTTGTTACAAATTTGGCACGCCAAATGGGACTCTAAATTATTTTCCTACCCCAACTCAAACTCTTCTCCCATCTACAAGTTCTTTAGGCTGCCCGGCTATTCCTGCATCTATAAAAGGGCTCCATCTATTCTTAGTTTTCCACATCAAAAGAGCTCAGGCAAGTTTGTACATAGGCTGTAATTAAATTTCTTCCTTCTCTCTCTCTCTTTTTTTTTTTGTTTTTTTGTTTTTNNTTTTTTTTTTTTTTAAATTTTCATGTTCATAGCTTTATGAGTCTTGAGTTTGATAATTCGGTGTAATGCTACAGTTTCCCACGTCTGCTAATTATAGCTTTGAGTTGTTGTTGCTGCTGTTCAATTTTTTGGTGGGCCACGTAAAAGAGTTTATGCACATTCATCTTCCGACTTTCTGATCACGAAGTGTTCGATCAATTGTCCGAAAGGTAACAACGTACTCTTTTCAGATATTTTTCGTTTTATCTTCTTTCTTTTGCTGCAACATGTTGTTCGGGACGTTCACATGGCTGTCCGGGCTATTTGCATGGAGTTGTCCGAGCCAAAGCGGGGCTGTTTCGGAGCTGTTCGGGCAAAGCGGGGCTGTTTTGGAGCTGTTCGGGCGGAAATGGGGTTTTTTTGGAGTTGTCCGTGCTGAACCGAGATTGAAGCGAAGCGATTTGGGAGTTGTTCGGGCATGGACCTTGCAAGCGGCTCACCACAACCACCTCAACAAAAAACCAACTCAACCAGATGGAGCTACTGTCAACACTAGGCCAACTTTGACAACCGCATGGAGAAATACATCAACTTTGCGGCTCAACGTCAACTTAGGATGATACATCTCACCAAGCCAAACTGCTCGGAGGAATCATCAACCTTGTCAAGCTGCACAGAGGAATCAAGCTGCATGGATGACCATCAACCTTGCTGCACAACATCAACATTTAGGACGACACATCTCACCGGCCACACTGCATAGAGGGACCATCGACCTTGCTGCATAACATCAACACTTAGGACCACAATCTAACCGGCCGAACTGCACGGGACCATCGACCTTTCTGCACAACATCACACTTAGGACGACACATCTAACCGCCCAAAGCTGCACGGAGGGACCATCGACCTTGTTGCACAACATCAACACTTAGGATGACACATCTCGTCGGCCAAGCTGCATGAAAGGACCATCAATTTTCAACGTCACCTCAGAATAACACATCAAAATATCAAACACATCTTGAAAATTAAAGTCTCAAAGTCAAGAGCTCTTAAGATCCCTCTTGAAGATTTGAGAAGTTCTTGAAGAACCGCCCGAAGTCCGTTCAATGAAGAAAAAGGTCAAGAAGAAGAAAAGGAGTCGGCAACTCTTCCCCAAGATGTAAAGAGACGAATTTCACTGCTTTCAAATCAATCCAAGAATATCAACGACGTTCAAGCGACATTCAAGCCCCGTTCGTCGAGAAGTTTAACCAACATAGCGTTTGATTTGGTAAAAAGCTCTCGAGCCCTCGAGTCATCGTTATGCAAGCTCAATCCATATTCGAAGATCCAAACCCAAATCCATGAAGAGAAGAATCAGAGGAAATATATAGAGATTGTACCCGCAATATCATTTGATCGAAATAAAATCAAGTTGTACAAAAGTTTTATGTCTTCCATAAAATTTGTTGTTACAACTTTGGCACGATTTGTAGACATCGAAATTTTAATATTTTATTAATTAATGTCTTTATTTATTTTTGGACATAAATCCATAATAAATAAGATATATAACTAATAAAGTTATTATTTCTTGTCCACCAAATCAAATCTTAGGATAGGGAAAGAGATTATATCAAATCATGAAGGACTAATCAAATTGATGTCTTCTTTTCCAAGACTCTCTCTATTGTAATGAATGTAACAATCTTAGTAGAAGCATCTATTACAGTTATATAATGGTATATGAGGTTCATTATATTCATTTTAAGTAATAAGTGGTGAGAAAATTATAAATACGCCTTGACATTAAAGCAAATCACTCTTAAGAATTCAAGATAAATGAGTTCGAAATGCAAACCATTCTTAAGAATTCAAGATAAATGAGTTCAAAATAAAAGATTGGTCACAATAAACAGGGTGAAATCTTTGTTCACGAGACACAAAACGGAAAACGAATTGGAGTGTCACCTTAAAACCAATGTTCCAACTTTCAAATGTGAAAAATGAGGTTCTGAAAAATTGTTGTGATACATTTCCTTATAAAACGGATTGAAAAATGTGTTATCCCGTTTAGATATGTAATGTCCGAACACCGTTGCGAGTTGTGATACACTACAAGAAAACACTTCAATTCCAACGGCAAAAATTTCTGTTGAAAATTCCAATGAATATTTCAACAAACTTAATTTTATGTTGGAATAAGTGTTGGATGGTTGAGGAATTCCAACGGATTTTTTCCGTTGGAATAGTTGTTGGAATCTATTTCCATAGGATTTTTCGTTGGATTTTAGTTATTCCAACGACCGTTCTTCCCACGAATTTTTATACGTAAGAATATCCGTTGGAATAGCTATTCCAACGGAAAATATAAAGAATTCCAACGAAAAATTTCTGTTGGAATGTAAGAGTTTTTTTTGTAGTGATAGATTGTGAAAACGGTTTGTTGCCGGCTAGGTGCGAATCTTGAAGCTACAAAGCTACATGGGACTGGGCTGGCAACTCGAGTCTTTGTCTACGGCCCGTGAGGCTAAATCATGTGGAGATCGAAATTACCCTTTAGTCTAGGTACTAAAATCGTTACTTACCTAATTAAAATCCACATATAAGGTGGTTGAATTCTGACTTGACTTTACGAGTACTTTTCATAATCTTCAAAAGTCAAAAATTCTATGGAGCCATCAATCACTTAATGTATTAACACATGTACAAAGTGTATTTATTGTAGTACACATGTCAATACACGATTTGTGAATAATTGTGGATGATTCTATAAGTCGAGTCATCCGATGACAACATAGTAAAACTGCTTGAAAAGTACCTACTTTTCATAGGAAAATACTATGGTCCCATTATGAGATGGTTCAATCAGTGTTTTTCACTATTGGATACACATGTAAATTATGTTGTGTACATAATCTACGATAACAAATACCAATGAAACCGATTTTGCTATGAAGCCAGCAGTTGGCTCCATAGTGGAGCCAACATTCTATATACAGTAAATCTACCATATTCTCTGATTACTTAAATAACACTATTATAATTTTATTAATATGGTAGGTTTATTTGTTGTACTAGTAAAGTTCACGTGCGATGCACGTGGTGTCGAATGATTTTCGTTGAGTAAGTTTGTAAATTAAATTAATTTACTTATTAAACATCTCATTACAGAAATGAAGTAAAATATAGAACAAATGAACTCATATGTGATTTTTTATTTAGAATTAACTTAAAGATGTGCTAATATAAAAAAAGAGTGAAATAACATTTTACAACCTCCAACAAAAATATATATATAAAAAAAACAAATCCCTAATAAAAAAACACTAAGATTTTCTTTCATTTTAGTTTTTGGCGTTCTCATAAGAAACATTTACAGCCGTTGGAGTCCAATACATCAATACTATTGCAAAATTCCTCTTAATTAATATGGCAAAACACAAATTTTATTCAAACACTTAAGAAATATTCTAATCCAACATATAGTCAAACTTCGTGATCGTATGATCTTTATAATAAGGTACTTCTACTAACAAAGCATAAATATCTCTGAAATAACTAGTGGTGTAATTAAAATTGCTGATATTTTTTATCATTGTATAAACTACTACATTTTTCTGTCTCTAGACATATTGGTGTCTACCCCATTGATGCATCGCCCCACGAAATAGGAATGAATTTTATCTCCAAA